CCCAACATGAACTCAACAGGTTTTGGAAGCACAAGAACGACACATGTCCTTATTTTCTGAGGGCTTTCTAATCGGCTGCCTTAAATCCTCCAGTGTGTCAGGGATGCGGGTGGGAGGCAGGACTCAAACGCAGACTTGTCAGGAAAACAAAAGACTTTAATAGTCAAACGGCCGAAAAACACAGGAACCAAGGGAAGAGCAGCTGGCAGGAAACTAAGCACATCCACAACAAGGGACAATGACGCGACAAGTGACACACGGCTTAAATACACAAGGGAGGTGCAGGTGATTGGACAGAGGTGGAAACTATTAAGACGATCACAGGGGATGACGGGACAAGGCAGGAAGTGAAGTTACCCGGGGACACGAGTGGCAGAAAACTACAAAATATAACATGAAGTGAACCACACCGTGACACAGTGGAGTGGAGCAGCCTCTCTGGGGATTCAAATCACATGATGCTCGCAGAGAGATAAGATCGGAATTTTGGGGGGTTTTAGCAGCTAGAATATTTTTGTCATGAATAAATTGCAGTGTGACTCTTCTGACTTTCCAGAATGTTAAATGAATGGAGCCCATCTTCCATTCTAACCAAATCGTGACTCAAAACTTGCTGATGGCTGATCCAGGTGTTTGCAGCTAACATTGCCAACAACAGTTAAACAACAACAGCGCTGGCAGAGCTAACAGTGTTTACCTGAAGGGAACCAAAGGGTGGTGCTAAGCTTTTGAAAGTACGCTATGGGTCATAGCGTTGTTGTCAGTGGTAACCGCTCTATGAGTGCAGAGCTGAAAAGGGAAATACAGTGATGCTTGTGCTGAACAGTGTTCAGGTAGATATTTTCGCATTATCTGTATTACATGACAAATAGTTGTTTACTGCTATTTTAATGCCTTGACACAGGTTAAGTCTTAAGTCAGGTTAAGATGAGAGAGCATGAAAAATGTAACTTTTTCAATTTGATACTTCTTTACACGAAACACTGATCCTCTCCTAGAATTACTTTATTGATTTAGTTTATTATGGCGTGCTGTGGAAGTGTGACCGCAATAAAATAAAATGAATGATTTTTTTTTTAACCTCAATTAGCTGAGTCACAGATAGATACTATGAGATAAGGAATGCTCCCTCCCACAACTACATTTTTTTGCATCAAATCCCTACAATCCGTAGATTTCCTTTTCGGACTATGGCAAACTCTATCCACCTGGAATGACGCATTACATACAACTTAAATATTGCTTTAAAGATTAGAAGATAAATTGATGAATGAAGTTTACCCACATTCTTCAAGAAGAAGATCCACCTAACATTTTGTCACCCAACTCTGCAGCTTCCTGCTATGTCAACCTGTTCCCATCAGGCTCAGCTACACTACACGTGTTTAGTTATAATTCTCTGAAGGTTAGCATTCTAACATGCTAAACATGGCAAACGAGGGTGAACATAGTAAACATTATGCCTGCTAAGGATGCTGATGCTAGTATTTGGCTCAAAACACTGCCATGGCCAGACAGCCTTACATTGTTGCTAGCATGGCTGTCGACATGTTTAATTTCATCACCTAAATGAAGAAAAATATATACCTGACCCTGACTTTCGAGAAGTATTTTTTCTCTAGTCAGTCTGTCAGTTTGTCTGTCTGTCTGTCTTTCTATGTCCCTTGACTGTTTCCCTGTCAGCAGCAGCCTGCTGTTATTGCCGGTAGACTGGCTAAAATACAAATCTTCCAAATCTTCCCCGTACACACAGTCACTCCAAGTGTAGAACTTGGAGTGACTGTGTGTACTACTAACGGTTAGCTGCTAACTGTCTCTGAGTTTCCCAAAAAACATTGAACCGTCCTGCTGTGTTTCATTGAACAAAGTGTACTACCAACAATAGATGTGCTTTTGGGGAATCCAGAGCAGGTAGTCCAGTGGATGTACAAGTATGAAACATCTGTTGCATATATTTCATCATATCAGAGGGCTTGTGTCTGTCCACTGGACTAGTGCATCCTGCTCCGCCTACAGTTTGCGTCAGTGCCTCAGAGCGCCACCGTCGTGTTTGACGGCTATTGTGACAGCTGATTTTCGTAACCAATATTCCTGTTTTGTCCTGTCTCTGTCCTGTCTGTTCATCTGTTTGTCCCTCCGTCCATCTGTCTGTCTGTCTTCTTTTCTAACTTCCTCCTTTGGTCTAAACAATTTTCTTGGTTTGGGCTGTATTTGTTTTGAGTTAATTATTTATTACCCTTTTTTCCCAAATTTGTTTCATTTACAAATGTTTGTAATTGTAACAAATGTTGTCTATGCAATTTCTGATTCTATGCAATGCTGCCATGACATCAATGGCCATATCATACCATTACTTTCTGTCATAAAAATTGCATTTCACTTTTTTTTTACACTTATCACAAAAACATTCATGCTAATTGTTTCCTTTGCTAATGTGAACGACCCTTTCATAACTCTTGCTCTGACCTTTGCCCTCTTACTTGTGCCTTGTCGTCTTCATGTATAGCCACGGGTTACGAGAAGTCGCGCAGCCTCAATAATATCTCCGGGATGACGGGCGCCCCGCTCCGCCTCACCCCCATCGCCAACTCCACTTTCGAGCCCTTCGAGCAGCCTGGCCTCAGGCGATGCCGCTCCCCCATTCCCTCCATCTTGTAGCATAGCCAACAGGCAGACGCAAACAGATAAATGCCAACAACAGCAAAAATACAATATGGAATGTTTGGGGGGGAAGGGTCTCTTGTTTTCCTTGAGAACATGCAATGAAAACATTAACATGAATTGATTCATTCTAGCTGCTCTTTCATGACCATCACTTGATAGAACAAACAAGGAATTAGGATGTCTCTTTTAGGCACCAGGAGGTCCCATCCTAAAACCATAGACCATATGCAAACCTTGTCCATTAAGGTGAGATAGACGCTTAACACACACTAACACACCTGCCTTACTGACAGGAACGGAGGCTAGTTTAGACAGATGTAATAATTAAGTTAGTTTTCCTCTGGCTTTCCCTTTGCTACTTGTTGTCTTTATCTGCACTCACACTTCAATGCTTTGAAGAGTCGCTTGAGAGTAGGTATCAATAAAGACTATTTTACACACACACACACACACAAAACACATGAATAGCAACCCTGTGTACCTCAATATTTTTACACTCTCCATCAAACACAAACAAGATTTACACTAACATATTACTACAGCATGCATAGACTCTCTAGAAGAAAAACATACGGTATACCTATTAGTAGCAAAACATTTTGTTACTTAAAGTCAAATTAATATCTCCAAAAAAAGGAAATTCCCGAAATTCTAGCCTCAATGTTGCATTGAGACAGAACAATGTATTTTTTTTGTTACTTTGTGCTCAGTGTATCCCTTTAGTACAGGAAGAGATAACCATTAGATTCTACATGACCATAAGCTACACCCTGCTCCTCTGGCACACTCTGCACAAGTATAATTATACTAGCATGGACAGCTAGGAAACAGGTGTCCTCGTCAGAGCTGCTCCCAGGTCATAGACGGTGGTTCCCAACATGGAGCCCCTGAGCCATTGAAAAACAAACTCAGCAGTTGTGAATAATGTTTTAAAAGGTCGCAAATTAGCTCTAATATGATAAAATATGCCATTTTATCATTTTTACATCCTTGTCTTTTTCCATGTGAATGACTGGATACTTGTTAAAAGCATAGATTAATTTCAATATAGATTTAAAAGAAGCCTATTATATAATCCTGAAATATCCCATAAGGGTGAGAATCATTTTCAAAAAGGATTATACAATATTAGGGAAACAGAGTGTCAGTAAGACTACCACTGGTCTTATTTTGCAAAAATACATAGACAAAGGCAGCACTAGGTAAATAGAAACAAAAACAACACTTTCTGAACACCCATGCACTTTGATAGCTGATGTTCAGGACCACAGCATCTTTAAATGTTCTCCTTGCCCTCCCACTCAGGTGTTAATTAGGAAGAAAGGACATTTCCTCTGCTTTCATTTGGTCATTTGCTGAAGATTGATACCATTCTCATAGGCTGTGCATATAGTAATCAGCTGGAGTCAGAATACAGAGATCTCAACAAGTCAATGTCAATACCTGACCCCATCTATTCAAGGTCAAAGACTAACCTCAATCATTCAATGCCAATGACTAAACTTAACTTTTCAAGGTCAATGACTAACCCCCACCATTCAAGGTCAATGCCTGACCCCAACTATTCAAGGTCAATGCCTGACTCCAAATATTCAAGGTTAATGACTGAGATCAACTATTCAAGGTCAATGACTAACCTCAACTCTAGGTTAATGCCTCACCCCAATAAATCAAAGTAACTGCCTAACCCCCACCATTCAAGGTCAATGCCTGACCCCAACTGTTCAAGGTTAATGCCTTCATATAATGGGCAGAGTAAGTGGGCAGTGTAAGGCCCATTTCTATCTCTCAATCATAATGTAAAAGTATATAATATTTGTTTAAACTGTGTTTAAGTTAAAGTGAGCGTACATCCTATGAAAGATTGATAACGTTTGCCCCGCAAAGAACTGTCTATATGATAGGCTAACCTCTCCTGACTCCGTTCTTGACGCCCAATAAGTAATTTTTTCTCATCTTCTTTCTTAACATTCTCAGAAAGCAAAGCAAATTAGCGCATTTGCAGAATTGTTTTTTAACTATTCCTTTAAGGTGGCAGAGTAGTTGACTTTTTTATCTGGAAGGTGTTTGGACTTTGCAGCTTAGCCTGAATGTGAGAAGCACGGTTGTCCGTCTGAGTCCATCCCACAACCATCACCACCACCGCCACCAATGCGATACTTGCACTGACAACAGTGTGAATCAGCAGCCAGTGGCAATATTTTTAGTTTTTGGCTTCTCTTTCTTTCCCTTTTTTGCCCTCTCCTGAATCTCCAAATCCCTATTCCCTTCCCCACCCCCTCCCCATCCTCTTCTGTCCGTCCACCTCTTCTGTGTTTTTGGCTATGGCTGCTCAGTAGGAGGCACTGTGAACGGGTACTGGAGCGACAGCCCGTGGTAGAGGAAGAGCGGACGGCAACACCACGATGAAAGAAGCGGGAGAACACAACAACAACAACAGAAACAGCATACAAACGTAGAAATCTGCAATGTAGATACATACGACACCGGCGGTTGGACCTTCCTGTTTCTGTTCATTCATGTTCTGTCAGCAGAACACACTTGTGTGCACATGGGTGTGTGTGTGTGTGTGTGTGTGTATGCCCGGAGCTGCATCTACCTCTCTACTAAGATGCACAACTTGAAAAAAATGTCGGACAGAAAGGAAGAATTAATCACCAAATTGTGTGTGATCACATGACGTCATGCTATTGGGTGTACTTTTGTTTCTATCAATCAAAGGTTTTGTTTCCTAAATATACGTGTTCATTCCTTTTTGTTTGAAATGGTAATTTTTTGATTTTGCAGAAATGTTGATTTATTGAACAACAACACTATCAGACTTCTTCACTGTTTAGGACAATAATGTGTCTGTTGGTTAAGCGTTTGAATCCCTTGTACTCATCTCGCGCGCTCACCCTCCTGCTCCCCCGCCAGAGAGTAACCGGTTTTAGTGGGATGGAACTGATTCCCTTTGATTTACATTGGATTCCCATCAGAGCACCATCACTAACCACGAGTGAACACAGACTCCTTTTCAGAGGAGCCTGTGCACTAAGGAATCTCCTTCCCATTACCTTTGTTGCATTGTAGTTTGGAGTATCGGAAGGTGAGAGCCACAAATGAAGAGACTATGTCTGGGGAGCATATCAATGTTCATTTTAACAATTAGTTTAACATTTTGCCAAAAACTTATGAGCTGTAGCCAGGCAGCAATGAGCGTTGTTTAGATTCAAGACTAGAAGCGGGGGAGAAATAGCTAGCCTAATCCAAACAAATGCTAAAAAAGTATACTTTGTTTCATTTTGTTTAACATGCATGTCTTTTTTGGGGTGCTCACCAAAAACTAATAACAATGAACATGTTCCCAATTTGTGATTTTTAATAAATAAATAATCAAGAGCTTGTTAATCAAGTGAACTATAGAGGAGTTGTTTACCCCCTGCCTCCAGTAGTAATGCTAAGCTAACCTAATTGCCTTCTTTGCTCTGGCTCATCTCACAACTCAAAGGATGTAAATAATATATATATATATTTTTTTGTCTCAATCATGTGACTGTGATTCGGGGTAACGCAGGGTTTCCTGTTTATGCTTATGCTTGACTATACAGTTTTTGTTAGTTGGAGAATTATTTTAACCCTCAATCTTGGGGCACACACACACAGATGTAAACACACACTCATCATTTCTGAACATTTCATCCTCTCCTCATCTCACTTCCCATCGTCGATTTGTAGTTGTAACTGCCGCTTTTCCGAAAGGCCACTGCTGACCGGTTTCTTTTGTCTCGGTGATTGTACATATGTAAAGTTTGCGTTGTATATGAATCTGCATGGGTTTCCATTGCAAGCAATAAGAATACTGATATGACTAATAATACGAAGAGCTTTGAGCTTTGAGTCTCAAGCTTAATGAATGTGTATATATCGTTTAGACCATTAAGAGTGTGTATGAATGTGTGTTTTAAGATGCATACGTATGCACCAACAAAGCATGCTGGACAAAAAATATGTTCACCTCTTTGAATGCAAGAAGAGGGAGGACAGGCTGACATTATGCATGCCGAAATGCTATGATGCTATTGGTCTGAAGAGACCAAGTTAGGTACTGTAACCGGGCCGGGTAGGGGTGGGAAAGTTTATTTTTGCAGGACGGGGTGGGGTTACGTTTCTGGTAGGTCGTGTATAGCGGCTTTCTTATCAAAAACCTGAGAGATTTATGATAAGAGAAACATATTAACAATCGTAGCTTATGATATATATTTTCTTTCTTCTTTTTTTTTGCTTCTCTTTTCACAGAGAACTGTTCTGAAAGCCCCGCGCTTATCAGATATATGCAAAAAGAAGCAGTAACTGTGAATTAACGCTAACACATGAAAAACAAATCCAGCTTCTTCCATCATTGTCTCGACTCCTCCTTTGCAAGAGAGAGGAACGAGAGACCGCTCTGTTCCCCAAGATACCTCCTCACCAACCCCCCACCCCCAACCCCCTCACTCCCACTCCTGTTATCTCCACAGCCTCTTTGTTGTCTGTCTGTTAATTCTAGCCAAATCAACTTTCATTACCTTCCTGTTCTGTTGTCTACATTTGCATTTAAAATGCAATGAGTTCAAGAAAAGGATTCCTCTGCAATGTGAGATTAAAATTATTCAAGAACTGAGATTAACCCACTCGAACTGCAACCCATTCTCAATTTAACTTTCATGTATGTCTAGATACTCAGTAATGTAGCATGTAAGCATAATACAGTATGGGACTGAACATAAGAAGACCTTTATTATATAACACAACCCTTTCTGGCTTATTTTTAGCCTAGTCCTGTTGGGAAAGTTTTCTTGAGATACCCTATACTGTTAATCCCAGGAAAAAATAACCATCATCCTTTTCTTTTGTAATCTTGAAATGCCTCCATGGAAGCGGAATATAAATTGCATGGTTGGTAAGCATCGTGTTGGCTCCCTCAACAAACAGAGGAACTCATCTCTTTCTTTTTTTTCAATCGCAATATCGTCTTTTATATTCTAGCCAATCCAGTATCCAATGTACCAGATCACGTTGTGCTCCGACCACTACTAAAAGCAGGTTCACGTTGGACGATTGTACACCAGTCACACGTTCAGTAGCATTGCATCAAGCAGCGTGTCCTATGTAGCAAGATGGAAAGTGAGGTGTCAGAGGTCCGGGGAGTGGACGGGCCTGTAGCATGTCAGACCTTCATCCAGGTAGTCCTGTTAGTCACACAAACTAATCTTTACCCAGCTTTAATCAAGAGGTTTTGTTAGTTTAGCGCTATTTTCCATACCAATTATTTGAATTCATATAATTGGCCATAAACTGCTAGATACTCATGTCTATGACTGGTCCTACACAATCAAAGTTCCTGTTGAGTTTGCTTAGGGGAGCATGTTATCAACAAATTTGCCCCAAAACATCTTTGAAGACGTGGCATTCAATGAAGTGAGAAACCACACTGCAGAGGCACCCTTCAAAATTAAAACTTAGTTTCTTCTTGAATTCCTGAAGGTTTTTCCTCTCGTTGCTAATGTTCCTCCCCTCTCCACCCATTCACAACTCAGGTATCTCTTTCTCAATCTCCCCCTATGTGCCCCCATGTTCCTGTAGATGTACTGTATGTATGACAAAGGGGATTGTTTCCCTGTGAATTCCATTTGCTCTGTTTTGTGGCTCTTGCCCCTCCTTGAAAAAAATGCTATATTGCTTTCCTTGTCCAGCTGTGCTTCCTGTCTTTTCCTTGTATGGGTTCTGCTCTGTGTCTCAGCCCTATCCCGAAAACCCTGTCCCTCTCTCTGAGAGACCTTAACCCCAACCCCCATCCAACCCCCTCAACCCACCCTCCGAGTCTGAAGTCTCTCACAGCAAAAACCAAAAAAAGGAGTACAATTGGAGAGCCTTTGCATAAAAAAAGAGAAATGTTTGGCTTAGACACTGGATTTCACCGAGGAGGAAGACAGGAACGACATGTAGATCGGGAGGAAGGGGAGTAATGGGGATGGAGGAGGCAGGGGGTTGCTGTGAAACGATGTGGATTGTGAGCCGAGCAGCGTCAGATGGAGGAGGAAACAATTTGGGGAAGACAGAAAAGTTTGGTGGTGATGAGGAGGTGGAGGAGGAGGAGGAGGAGGAGAAAGAAGCATAAATCGCTTCTCCATGTAAGAATGTGTTCCTCACCGTTGCTCCTGTGCACTGTTTTTGCTCTTTGAATTGTGTTTCCTCACCTGTGCGTGATTCAGTGTGAAATGTTTGTTTTTGTGTTCCCTGTTCTGTGCCACACTATTGTTTCATTACATTTTTTTGTTTGTGTGTACCACACCTGGGTCAAACACCAGCTTGTTTAATCCCTCACGGGTGCAGAGGAGTTGTCATCTGAGTCAAACTTCAAACTGCATCAGAGATAAATACATTTGAAAATAAACCTACCTGATGCTAAAAGGCATGCCAGTCTTCCGCTCATAGTGGGATGAAATTAAATAAAGGTTATTTGGCCAAGGTCTGGTCTGTACATGTGCAGCACACACCAACTGAGAAGCTCCAATTTAAGCTCTTGGTCTGGACTTCATACCCGGTCCTGGCTGGCTGCCGTCCTCTGGTTTCACCAAGTCTATGTGTCCTTCAGTCTCATCAGAATTCTTAATTGTCCAAAGATTTGTTAAACCAGGGGACTGAGCCCGCTCCCCCCCCCTCACCACCCCAAGGACAGATTGTATCTGTGTGTGTGTATGTGTGTGAGTTACAGAGACAGAGAGGGCGATGCTCCAGCTCTGTGTTCTTGGTGTTCTTGCATGTTGGCCACACTGGGCCAGCTTTGTGGTGGTGTATTTTTTTGCTATATTAATGTGTTTGGCCCTTCATTTCCTAGCTTTGGTGTGCAGTATCATACTGCCGTTGTTACAACTGTTTTGTACCGCTAAAATCAATAGTTAAGGTTTAGAAGCGCACTAGTCTGCCATTGTAGAAATCTTCTGATTTCTACAAACAAATCTTCTGATTTCTACAAACAAGATTTCTACAATCTTTCTACAAACTGAGAGGATTTTGTTTGGCAAGCAGGACAAGGACAAGGAGTTTCTACAATGGCTAACGCTATAAATTAAATTTAGGATGAAAGAAACTGTCACGGCATTTCCCAACAGCATCTTTGGGATGAAATTTGAAAAGGGCAAGGAGCAGTGACGCCGGGTACAGCATTACAAGCTGTGTATTCACTGTCTCACATGTTACGAATTAGACAGAATACATTTTTCAGTCCCTCAAATCATGTACAAAAAAACTTAAGGTCCAATAGTTGGCTTTTTCTGTGGCTTTTGACCACATCTCACTATTTTCATTTGCAGAGGTCATCATCCCTGACGAGAGAAAAAGCTGAATATACCATGATAACAAATACTTTCCCCGTCTAGATGGTTTTGGGAAACAGTCCTATATTTAATATGGTTCCACACTGGAGCTTGAAATATATCAAATTAAGACAACTATTTATTGGATGGTGGGCAAAATAATTGTCAGATTAGCACATTTTGTGAACTTAATCTGGCCAAATTTCGCTCTGTGTTGAGTTGCACCAGTTTTTCAGAAATCCATCACTAAGTGTGAACATACATACTACATACTAAGGATAGACAGTAGTATATAGTAAATGTGAAGGTCCTTCTTAAGTTCATAAAATAATAAAATAACTAGTTTTACAACAAATCATTACACCAGTTTGTACATGGAAGTTAAATGTGTTAATATGTGTAAAAACCTTAGCGAGCTGTTTTTTTTTTTTTAGCTTGGAAACTTCTAGAATATAAGCAAGTTATGTCACGGTCCACGGCTAGGTGAGGACTCAAATGCGGAGACCGAGACTGGAGACTGGAGACCCGATATGACAGAAAGGGGAAAGACACATCCACAGACACACAAGGCTAACGAGACGTTACAAGTTATCATAGCATCTTACACTAGCATTGCTATAATAATATTAAAAGACCTAAACAATATTTTTGTATACATTTAGGTTACTTACTTATTCCTGCATATATGGGCAAATATATGTTTCAGAGTAGCTTTTTATTCTCATTATATAAAGCCATTTTAGACACGACGGCCTATTTTTGTAAACTATTTCTCAATCCTTGAGCTTAATGTCAGAATTTTCAATCTATGTTGACCAGTACCTGCGTTCCTATTTAACTTCCTATACTCTAAATGGATCGTATATTGGCTAATTACAACATAACGGTAGCTTTGTCAGTTACATTACAGGTCATTTAGCTGACGCTTTTATCCAAAGCGACTTACATTACACTTTTTTTTTATAACCCATGGCATTTTACATTTTTGCCGGGGGAGCAATTAGGGGTTAGGTGTCTTGCTCAGGGACACTTCGACTTGGGACATAGGGCAGCCAGGACACCACCACCAACCATGTGGTTCCCAGCGCACCCGCTCTACCCCTGCGCCATGACGACCCACCCACACAGTTGATCCAGTTAGCTACACAACAGTTAATGTTAAGTTAATGAGGACAAATCATTTTTAATTTGGTGAAGCATAAAACCCCACTTATTGAAATCGGTTGGGACTATGCTAAATTGGAATTTTAGGAATAGCTGGTGCAACTGGCGTAGCAGGTACTATTGTGAATGATTATAAAAACAAAGAAAACAATACTTTACCCACCTGGATCCATTCACTGATTTACAGTATGTGTGAAATGGGCTTTGACCTCGAACAGCACCAGAACCTGGATGTCACAAAATAATTTTACACTTCCAATTTGAAAGAAAACTATTGTTTCAAAATCATTTTAAAAGCTTCATCTGAAATAGAAAAACCCTTTCTCATCTGTGACATGGTGTTTCTAGTGAATTATTAAGGTTTGATTAACTGCACAAAAAGCATCTTTAATTATTAAATTTGCTTTTCACCAAACACTATGCCATAGTCTGGTGTCTGCGGGTCAACAGTCATGAATTTTTCAGTGCAAAACCTCAGTAAATTCTATTTTCTTTCTTTCCTTTCAGTGCTGAGTTTCTAACCCCCCCCCCCCCCCCCCTCCTCAACGTGAAAAGGAAAATGATAAAATGTTGAAAGAGCTGCTTTCCCTTCACCCCCACCCTCCCACGACGGGATTCACTGAGAGAGAAAGGGATTGAAAGAAGGCGAGCAGTGGAAATCATCACTGACGCACCCGAACATTCTCATCATTCTATCCTATCGTCATATGCAACCTCGCCATAATGCCAGTGAAGGGGAAGGGTCATGATCACATATAAGCTATTTTTAAAGATGGGAGCAAAAAAGTAAAAGAAAAAAACGACCCTGACTCTTTTGAACTGATTTTTTCAGAGCAAACCTCGGCATTGATGCTCCCCAATGACAGACAACGAATGGAGAGCATGCCGTTAGGGAACCCTCTATTTATATTGTGTTGTTGTTTTACTCTTTTTATTTCAATAAGCTCCATCTGCAGCTGTTGATTTCCAATTGGATGCCTCATTATTTTGGCACTCTAAGCACTATGCAAAGTGAAGGTCCATCGTGATGTCCAACAGCTCCCGGCGGAGGTCGATCCAGTGTCACTGCTAATCTCTGCTGAGCAACAGGACCTCTGACAAGCGGCCTGAAATCTACTCATACATATCAGAAAAAGAACCTTGGCCACATCACATTTCACATGATTCTGTATTTGATTTCACCTGAATCATCTTGCGTCTTTGTGTTCAACTGATCATTTGAAAGCTGAGGTCTCAACAATCGTCAAAGAGACAGCTTTTGTCCACCTGGTGATCGAATTAACTCGGATTAAGACCCACTCGGATGGAAGTACCGGACGGGAAATCTGCCGGGTAAAAAAAGGAGGAAGTGACTGACCCTCGTCTCTTTCTTTCCATCTGGAGTGTTTGACAACCCCCCACCCCACCCATCTCAGCAATGCTGTTCTTCCTCCTCATCTAAACTGCATGGCATGAACAAAACCAATTGAAACCAGAAGAAAGAAGAAAACACAATGGATGGATTAGAAACTTGCAGGGGTGCGGGGGACAATGGACGGATTGTTTAAGAGAGACCATCTTTGATTTTTTTTTCTTTTACGCAGCAATGTAAAGTAATTGTCACCCACTTTACCCCCCACCCCCGTCCACTGGCGGCTGATATTTGCCAAACAGCATCTCCTGCAGCGAACTGCTTTTTCAGAAGGCGTGAAGGAGGAAGAGGAGCCCCCTCCCCCTATGAGGGAAAGAAGGAAGGTAGGAAGGAGAACTCTGCAGACACTCTAGACCTCTTTGGATGTGGGGCAAGAAGACAGAGGCTTTTTAAAGAAAGCAGGTATTCAGCAGGAGTGGGAGAAGATCTTTGAGAAACTATTACAGGGACAAAAAAATGGCAATGATTGCAAATTAGAAATGCATTTTTATGACATTGTTTACCAGCATGAATATTCTGCATGACTTCTGCAAGCCATTCTGATCTCCTCCATGAATAACAGGGCTAGACAAATTTTGAAAACTCAACAAAAATTACGTTATATGCACCAAATTGAAAAGAAAGTAGGATAATGTAAAAACAAATGATAATCATCATTTTATGCATTTTTTATGGTCATGATAAAAAACAAATGATTGAGAAAAAAAGGTTTGCAAAATCTATCCTGTTTTTTTTTCTTAACAAAAAAATCTTTTTAGCCCCACCCCACCCTAACTCCTCTTAAATCCAAGAAGACTCCTCCCAACTATTGCAAGTATTTATTCTGCTACAACAAGTTTGTCTACTACTTCCACTTCTCACCCAATCCGCTACTGCTTCTTCTTCTTCCTCCTCTTCTTCTTCTCCTTGTTCTTTCTCTTGTAGCCTCTTTTCAGAAACTCTCTCCAAAGGTAGCTTTGTGTGTCCGTGTAACAATGTGGACCCAGGACTATAGAACTGGGCTTGTGCTGGACTGTGCCGTCCACTCACACACATTTCAATTAAAATATTTTTGACCTTGATGTCCAAGGTCACGGCACACTCAAGGTAAGAAGGATCATCGGAGGTCTTGGGTCAAGGATATGTAAGGAAAAGTCACAGTTGAGGTGTGGTATAATGTTCCAGGCTGGTCTGAACAGGTGCAAGATGGCTGCCCATCATCTAGGGTTTTTTATTCCACATGCTCTGTCTCAGGAGTTTGGGATTAGGATTGATTCCCATTGTATGTGGTCAAGGTTTAAAAGAAAAAATGACCTGTCCTGTATGTGCCACTAAAGTAGGGACAAACACAGGGTCTTAATAAGAATTCAGAATTGCCAAAGTCCGAACCTCTCCTGCTCAAATATATTCACGATTTCTGTAATCATATAATTTTTATCTTAAATTAAATATGTATATACATATCTCACATTATTTTCAGGTATGAAAATAGCTTTGCTTAAAACCAGTTGAAAAGAAAACCAAAGATTCCAACGGATATCTCAAACACACAAACAAAAGTGCAAGGACCTTTTTCTAGAATTAAGGCCGTCAAATTAATTTCCCAAATTTCCGAATCACCTTAAAATGGAAGACAAAGTTATTTCCAGATTTCATGTCAAATACAGAAGAAATAACATTGTACCTGACTGAAAATAATGTGAGACAATATATAGTTCATGAGATTCAACTTGATGTCTTTGGCAATGTTTGTCCAGTAGCTTGTTCATGGTGTAAATATACCAATACTGCCCTTTGACCCTTTAACTTGTTCATTGAAGGGGATTGATCAGTTATTAATCCTTCAGTTACAGAACACACCATTTCTCAAGTAAGCTCCCATATTGTTTAAATATCCATGCTCGTTTTTCAAATGGATCAGGAGAGTATTACATTTACTGAACACGGGCCAGTATCAGTACTATGTATGAAGAGCAGTTGCTGTTCATAGCTGCATAGCTGTTCATAGCCCCATTGTGAGCGGCAGCCATCTTGGCTCGATATGTTGAGATATGAGATGGGCAAGTATCAGTTTAACCAGTTAAAAGGATGCTCTGCTGAACTGAGGGAAAAGCTTTTTCTCAAATTCTATGGTTTCAGTAAAGGTAGAGGAAAATACGCAGATTTAAGATGCCTTTTAAAGGCAACAGAAGCACTTTGGATGGCCCTAAAGCTAAGCACTGGACTGATGTGTTACCAATCAACAGAAAACTGTAGATTGTGCAGATTGTCTTCTTTTTTTTGCTTTTTAATGACTTTATTTTGAATATTATGTGAGAATTGTTATTTTTCATGCTGTATTATTGATGGAATTAGCTCTATGCTAATAGCAATTTGGTTTATGAAACTACTTGGGCCCCCCACAAAATACTTCTGAAATGTGGAAATGGATGGATAACTAATCAGGCCTTGCAGGCACAGGCTGAGAGTCCCAAGGTTAAAGGGCCCCTGGCCAGAAACCATTTCTTCTTTCCAACTCCTTCAAATACAAAAAAAGGATACAATACAGAGCATCTCTCAGTTTGAGTGTTTTTACATACTACTGTCCGGGGACCTTTGTCTTGTAATCCATCCATGTGTGTAGATTTGCTACTGTGCCGAATATTGTGACATACAGTAGGGTTATAACAAACACTCAACCAAATTAGTTTCCTTTATGACTTGTTCCCCTATTTAATCTGATACTATCAATGACAGAACCATATATTTGACATGCAGACATACCTTGGCTCTCCTGTCTTTTGCCAAAACTTCATTAGCTGTTTTAAATAAGGGCTATTGAGTTAGAATAGTCTACTCTTAGAGTTAGAATAGTCTACTCTTGCACCCTCACAAAATGGTTTTATGTACCATATGTTCAACCATCGTCAAATTGCTGGGATTCCAGGGAACCTTTGCAAGACAGAACATAAATGCCTCATTCTTTGGATTGAGATATATTCTTGGAATTGGCATTTCAAGCAAGATGTGCTGCAACATGACATCGTTTTTTGTTCATATGCGCAGTAAAAAAAAAATCCTTACCTTTCATTATGTTCAAATTATTTCCAAGCACAGCAGAAAAGGTCCCTTTCAGGACTTGAAGAATTGGGGATTTGGACAGTGCTATATTTTGAGGATTAATAAACTATAAATTCAGTCATATGTTGTGTATGAAGCTAAACTAAATCCAATAACTTGAATGACAGCGACGAAAAGAAAACTCAATCCCCTGTCTGGTTCGAAATTTGGATTTATTTGTGTAATATGTATTGTTTTGTACCCATACTCCCCTGTATGTCATCAGACAGCAGAAAAGAAATCATTGTGAGTTCTTTTAGATATTCTATGTATGATTCTAGACAAATTACATGGGGCCAAAACTTAGTAGAAAACAGGGCCTATCTCAGGAATACGGTGTCCAAAATCAGGAGGTAGAATGTTGAGATTTCATGATGCTGCAGTATTTATTGTCAGGAACGTTTCAAATATTAATTTCAAATGGACATTAGGACATCCTTTCAATGGATACTGCTACTTGAAGCGTGGAAGAAAATCTTTCTGTTGTTTTGGTCTCTACTTTGTCCAACTGTCCATCCACGCTGCACTTGGTGTCATTGCTTCCAGGGTGTTCTTAATTTTTTGGTGTGGTACTGTTAAAAGTTTATAGTACAGATTCAGAAATTTCAATAATAACAATAGCCTTGCATGCATCGTACTGTAGCTGTACCAAGGTGAAAGTAACTTCCTTCAGTCTCATGCATTGCTTTAGTGTTATGTTGCCGTCAGCATTTGTTTTTCATGTCATTTATTTTGGTCTATTTTGGAAAACATGTATTTATGAAGACCTATGGTCTTGAAGATTAAGCATGAAGTTAACAGTGACAGTATCTGCTCAGTCCATTTGGGTTAAAGGGTTGACAAAATTGGACTGTTGGAGAAAAACTGATTGTGTGTGTCAGATGGGTTTTGGTTGTGTTCATATGGATCACCGAGAAGGCAGACTTTTAACCTGATCTCTGCAGAATGAGTGCCTACGAGAGGACTTCTTTCGTGGCCTTCACTGTACATGTCAAACGTAGAAATTTCTGAGCAATAAAGCAGTCCTTAGTTGGGCCAACAATGTCTAAACAGAGCACTGCCAATTAAAATTGCTCATACATGTTTGTGTTGCCAAGTGTTGTAGTATGAAAAAGATACTTCACAAATGTGTTGATCGTCCACAAACTTTGAAATTTTGACACCTGAGGCCAAGGTAGTGTGACACTTAGTTCTGAGCCTGGGAAGTGGGAATACCATTCCCATAGAGTAAAATAATAGTGTTTGGTATTAGAGCCTTGCTGCTGGCCGAACTGATGGGTTTGTAACAGCAGTCATTGCCTAACAATCTGGTGTAATGTGAGGGTAATGAAACTAATTCCGTTCAGTCTGATTGGCTAAGACCTAACGAAAAACCTCATCTTCCAAATGGAAACTCTCCTAATTCTTTATTCAAGATTTATTCTCATTGAAAGGTTGGAAAATCCACAATCCTCTGATGCACCGCAGAAATGACCTTTGTTGCCAAGTTTGAGAGGACTGTCAGAGCAAAAGGTAGTCCATGTCTCCAATGTTTCGTTTAAGATGCTTCAATGGTTCTTGGGAAAAGGGTACAGTGGATCCTCCCCTGACCCTCCATAATTATGGAGGGTTCCATTTAAATTTCAAAATTCATGTTGCTGCAGAAACCAACCTAAATTATTCATAAAAGAGACTTGCATGGCAGAGAGTAGAAGAAGAAGAAAAAGTGATGGCTGCGCAGTTTTAGACAGTCAAATAGAAACCTTGATTATTCTACTGCAGTGTAGTGGGGACACAGCAATAATGGGTAAGGTCTTTTTTTAAAGGTTTCGGTTCCATGTGCGAACGATTATATCCAAGAATGTGTGTTTGTCCAAACAAATGACTTGTGTTAAGAAAGGAAGCATGCTGTTCAAACTGAGCTAAGCCACACCCCTGTGAGAAGACTGACATCTGAGCTAACCCAATAGAGCAACTTTACTTGAAACCCCAAATGACAATTTAACATATCACGGGCAGATGCATTGAAGCGTCTCTGCCCACTGTCACCTTAACCCCCACCCCTTCCCCACCACCTTCATTCAATGCTGATTGGAGTTTTAGAGGCCTTCCTACGTCTTTCAATAAGCCTGGACCAATTTGATTGGTGGGTGTTGCATTAAAACAAGACAGAAATAGTTTCTGCGTGTTAAAACTTCCACCCTTGTCGGACGTCTGGCCACACCCCAAACCAGTGATGTAACAATGGGTGTATTTTCTTTGGGAGAAGAGCTGGTGTGATATGGTTGTGTTTAAAGAAAAACATTTGAAGGGGTGCAGAGCAGCGGTTCACACCCCTTTGGATTCAGCATTTGAACTCAAGATAACTCCTTAAATATGATATTGATTTCTTTTTATAAGCATTTATACTTTTCAGAATTTTGGGATCTAAATCTCCAGTCTGTGTTTCTTGCAGCAACCTCTCCATCCCATGCTCCTCTCTCTGTCTTCCTTTCCTATTCCTCCTTTCCTCTCCCTCCTTCAGTTGTTTTGAGGAAGCGGCTTCTTTTTGCATCCCTTGTTCTTGTATTTTAATATCCTATTTTTATTTGGGGAGATGAATTCTTAATGCATGCCTGGGGGAAACTTTAAAGTGATGACGTAACCCAATTGCGAATGGCCATTTGAAGGGAAGTCTCCATGGGGGGAAAAAAGTAAAGGTTCTTGAAGTTTCCCTCTTCCTTTCTCTGTCAGTTTAGAAGATGCAGTGACATATGCTCATTCTCCTCATGCATTCTCTTCATTCATGTGATCACTTTCTGGAGGCCAGCAGACTCAGTTTCATGAGTCCAGTCATGGTTTTCCAAAGGCTTCCCAGACATTGGTGCTGTTTTGGTAGGCACCCACTCAACATATTCTATGCATAATTTCGGGTCTTTATTTTTTTTTTATTGTTTGGTAGCTGAGAACATGTCTACTCAGATCAAATGAATCCGTCATTTCCACATTGATTCCAGGTTTTTATCATGTGTTGTAAATTAGGAAACCACAGTCCATTTTAAGTTATTTGGACACCGCTTAAACAGACGCTAGGGTTCATTTCCCTGTTGATCAATTAATGATCCCACAGCAGGGATAAAGACTTGGTGTGTGTCTACTGGAAAAAGGCAGAGAAAGAAAGAAGGTTGACTGAGACGAGAGCGAGAGAAGAGGCTTCCCTCAATTACTGAGTGGGGTTTATGCTATAAATACGATATCATTTTATTGTCACTTTGCCGGAGAGAGAAAATAAGTAAAGAACTGCATAAAATATATTTCAATGGAATGTTTATTATTTACCTTTTCTATTTTTGAAACATGTAAAGAACAAAAAAGGTGAAACTGTAAAAATCCAACAGCATTTGTGAAAAAGACATAGAAAACCATTCTGTTAAAATGTATGAAGGTTTGACTGTGAATGCTGATTTACCTGAGCAACTCTTCTCCTTCACTGATGGGATGAATAAAAAAAATAAAAAAACATCACAAAACTACTGGAAAAGAGCAAACAAATTCAGTTGAAAAGAGAAAACATAGAAAACTTAATAAAAACATTAAAAGCTTATGCCAAAACTTTACATTTGTGTCCTATGCCTTTTTTGTCACTTCAAGTTCACAGTGATGCAGAATGCATACAAGTATTTACCACACAATCAGTAGCAGTATGCAGAGTAGCAGCTCGGTACAGCACGCTGGTGGACAAACTAAGTTACACAAATCTGGTAGCCCAGGCCGACGCTCTCCCAGTCATGGACTCCATTATAAAGGCAACCTTAGCGCTATCAGTCACATATGTAAAGGCTGCTGGTCGAAGAATAAGGAGCTTTGCATCAAAAAAGCTCCATGTTTCCAGATCTCCCGCATAGCGATCCGGCGCAGGAACATGTGGCTCCCGGGAGCAAAAAGTAGGTTGGGCAGGTTGTAGAGAAGGGGTAGGGGCCCCAGGAACTGAGGAGGGTGGCTGTGGGGAGGCCTGACGGAGCTACTATCCAAGCTGGTTCACCTCCGCAGAAAGGAATCGGAGACACTCCCTGATGTCCCGAAGAAGTTTGTTGTTGTGTCCCACGCGACGCGAGGTTCGCTGAGTCCATGTTGGCCACTTTGTATGGTTAGGGAGCTGGGGCCACAAGGACCTGGATTCGAAAGCAGACTCAAGGCAAGGGTTCAAAAAACAAGGTCTTAACTTCAGGCAGGGGTTCGGTACACGGGTAGTCAGACAAGGCAGACAGATTAATCCATAACGGCAGGCAAAGAATCACGGGTAGACAGAAAGAGATCGAAACACATGAAGGCACACTCTGGTAAATTGCTGGAAAGCTCATGAACAATTAGAGACAAACTGCCACAGAACAAGTAGTCGACACAGACTAAATGCACAAGGGAAACAGTAAGGCCTGCAATCACTGAGGGCGGCGGCACACAGGGAGGGAGGAGTCTGAAACGAGAGGCAGGGTGAATGACAGAAAACACAACAGAAAACAGTGACCAACTACCCAGAAAGTATGGGTGTTACATACGTGGATTATGTTCGATGAAGTCAGCCCCTCCTTAACAAAACTTTCCACAATACCAAGAGCTTATTCTTAATTTACTTTTATTCAACAAATTTTCTCCCTCTCCAATTTCCACTAATGTGTTTCTCTCCCAAGTATTTCCATTTTGTCCTTTGGAAATAGGATTCAGAGATTAAAGGTATAGTTAAAGGTTATAGTTCAGTTATGCATGTTGTACATAGATTCGGAGATTAAAGGTATAGTTAAAGGTTATAGTTCAGTTATGCATGTTGTACATCGTGACACATAGATGTTCCAGTTGATCTTGATATTTATTGTTTCAATATTTTTGTTATTAACTTTTAACAACCCATGAGGGCATAGCATCATCAATAGCTGTACACTGGATGTGTTTAGCCTAGAAAGAAAATGTGCAGCAAACAGCTAACTGCTAGCGCAACTACTGAAGTTAATGTAAGTAAGTTCAAAAGGAAGATTACCCATCATTCATTGACCCACGTTGAAGTGCTGGCGTAGGGGTATGTTAGCCTAAATAATATTTAAGTATTGCCTCTGAGTTACTTCAACATTTACAGAAAATTCAATGTGAATGTGCTGTAAAGATGGTCCTGCTAATGTACAGGGTGGAATAGAATGCCTTTTAAGGGAGGAAAGTCTCCATGAAGTCACATGAGATCAATATTTGAGAGGACTTTTATAGTCGCCCGAGCACTCCGAGCTCTTTACCGCAACCTGTCATCAGCCACCCGTTCACACCGTTCTGTGATCGAAGGAGCTGCCGTGCACAGTGACACCTGTCTACCTGAGTGCTACTAATCCTCTGACTGAAGGATGAGCCACTCTTCCACTGAATGAAGATGTCACCTAACTAAAGTATATTGTTTTTTTCTCGCTGCATGAAATGGCCTTCATGATGTCATTTTTATTTTCATGTCAATAAATTTATTTTCATGTCATTTATTAAGAAAGTAATTTACAAGACTTGGTTCACCTCAACAACAAACACCTCAACAACGAATACTTAGCTAAGTATTCGTTGTTGAGGTGTTTGTCATTGTAACACTCATCTTGTCCGCAAGAGGCTGACACCTCTATACTATGCTGTCAAAGTAACAGATCAGCATCAAAAGAAATATGCATCCAGAACCAAAAAAAGACCAATTCAAACATGCAGTGGTGTTTATACTGTTTGCCGAATAAACATGTAGCCTCACAGGCTTTTGCACTAAAAGTCAAAAATCTTGACTTTTGAATATGACTATGAATTCTCATTTTCCAACCCCCAAAATCTCTTTTCTATCTCTACCCCCTTCCACCCCTCTTCCGGGAGACTTTGTCAACTATTTTACCAAAAGAATAGCTTACACTCTAAAAAACAAAACGTAAAAAGAAGGTCAAATGTCTGGCAGCAGTGGCAGTCAAACAAAAAACGTAAAATTAAGGTAAAATAACTTAATTCAAACGTGCGAAAACCTTACATTTACAGGAATGTTCCTTATTAATTTTACAGAGATTTTTCCTGTGGTATTTAGTTAATAAAGAGATGCCACTAAAAATTCTGCAGCAGACTTTTTTTTATACATTTTTTCTGTATTATTACAATCAAACACCTTCAATAAAGTGATACCATCAAAGGTTTTGCAGTAAAAAACTATTATTTTACAGATTTGTCCCATGAAATGTGAGCTTTTCATAAATTTACAAGATTTTCAATGTTTCAATTAAACAAGGGGTTGGAAACTTCCATCCATCCGTCCATCCTCCATCTTCAAGTCGCTTATCCTGGGGCTTGAGTCTATCCCAGACAATTTCGGGCAAGAGACATGGTACACCTTGCATTGGTCGCCAGCCAATTGTAAGGCTAACACACAGACATACAACCATTGATACTCACATTCATACCTATGGGCATTTTGAAGTCACCAATTAACCTAATCCCCAGAGCATGTCTTTGGACTGTAGGGGGAAGCCAGAGTACCCGGAGAGAACCTATGGAGACACATCGACGTAACCTGGTAACCTGGGAGAACGACGTCCCTAACGCGATTTGAAGTGAGGAACGTAAGGAGCCTCCTGTTTACTCGTCATCCAGCTGATCAAGCTAGTGTTTGCTCACTAATCAGGATCAGGAATCAGGAAACATTTATTGCCAAAATATGTCAAACATACAAGGAATTTGTCTTGGCGGTTGGTGCGTGACAGTAGACAGTGTAACAAAGACAACAAGACAGCAGTGCACAAGTAATAAAATAAAGTAAAATGAAATGCTAATGCAATGGGTTAGAAGAATACGGCTATGGGCTAGTATAAAACAAGAGAATAAAGTTAAGAATTTAAAATATTTAAAAAGTTGAAAAATATTAAGCATAAAGTGCACTAGCGAACAAGTGACAAAGTGACGAGTGACGACAAAGTGAAAAATTACAGTTAAAGTGACATGTGCAGTATGAAGGGGAGTGACCAGTGGAATGTTATAGTCAGTCAGTGGGGGACCGGGCTCTGTTGATGAGCCCGACTGCCGACGGGAAGAAACTGTTCGTGTGGCGGGAGGTCTTAGTCTTGATGGACCTCAGCCTCCTGCCAGATGGAAGGGGCACAAACAGGTTTTGTCTGGGGTGAGAGGGGTCGGCTATGATCTTTTTAGCTCGCTTCAGAGACCTGGAAGTGAATAAGTCCTGCAGGGACGGCAGATTTCAGCCGATCACCCTCTCTGCAGAGCGGATGACACGCTGCAGCCTGCCCTTGTCCTTGGCTGTGGCTGCAGCGTACCAGACGGTGATGGAGGAGCAGAGGATGGACTCGATGATGGCCGTGTAGAAGTGGACCATCATCGTCTTTGGCAGGAGGAATTTCTGCCTCAGGAAGAACAACCTCTGCTGAGCCTTCTTTGTGATGGAGCTGATGTTCAGCTCCCACTTGAGGTCCTGGGTGATGATGGAGCCCAGGAAACGGAAGGAATCCACAATAGTGACAGGGGAGTCACACAGGGTGATGGGGGAGGGTGGGGCTCTGTTCCTCCTAAAATCCACAACCATCTCCACTGTCTTTAGAGCGTTGAGCTCCAGGTTGTTCTGATTGCACCACGACACCAGATGGTCAGACTCCCACCTGTAGGCGGACTCATCCCCACCAGTGATCAGTCCAATGAGGGTGGTGTCATCCGCAAACTTCAGGAGCTTGACGGACTGGTGACTGGAGGTGCAGCTGTTGGTGTACAGGGAGAAGAGCAGAGGGGAAAGAACGCAGCCTTGGGGGGGAACCGGTGCTGATGGTCCGAGAGGCTGAGACATGTTTCCCCAGCTTCACGTGCTGTTTCCTGTCAGGCAGGAAGTCTGTGATCCACTTGCAGGTGGAGTCGGGCACGTGCAGCTGGGAGAGTTTATCCTGCAGCAGGGACGGGATGATGGTGTTGAAGGCAGAGCTGAAGTCCACAAACAGGATCCTGGCGTAGGTTCCTGGGGAGTCCAGATGCTGGAGGATGTAGTGGAGGGCCATGTTGACAGCATCGTCCACAGACCTGTTGGCTCTGTAGGCGAACTGCAGAGGGTCCAGGAGGGGGTCAGTGAGGGTCTTCAGGTGGGTCAGGACTAGCCGTTCAAAAGACTTCATGACTACAGAGGTCAGGGCGACGGGCCTGTAGTCATTGAGTCCTGTGATCCTGGGCTTCTTGGGAACAGGGATGATGGTGGAGGCCTTGAAGAAGGCTGGTACGTGGCATGTCTCCAGGGAGGTGTTGAAGATGTCAGTGAACACCGGAGACAGCTGGTCAGCACAATGCTTCAGGGTGTGAGGGGAAACCGAGTCCGGACCGGCTGCCTTTCGGGGATTTTGTCTTTTAAAGAGCCGGTTAATGTCTCTCTCCAGAATAGAGAGGGTCGTTGCTGGTGGGGGGAGGGGAAGGTGATATAGATGAAGAGGCATGAGCACCTGATGGGCTGGGGGAGGGAGTGGTGGGGGACTGCAGCAGGTTGGTGGAGCTGTGGGGGATGGGATCAGGACATGGTCTTTT